GCTTGAAAAATCCACCACCGACTCGGTCTCGCGTGGGGGAGGGCCGCTCCAACCTGGGGCATCGACCACCTGCACGTCCGCAGCCCAGGAAGGAGGCTGGGTCTGATCGGAGGCATCGACCACCCGCGCGTCTGCGGCATCGATCCAAGACCCGCTGCCGTCCTTTAGGGTCTGCCCTCCAGCGGGCTCCCCTGGGACCGCCAGCCCCGAATCTCCTGCGCGCCGCCGCCTCCGCTGCGGCGAGGGGGCAAGGCCGCTCCACGCTGGGGCATCGACCGCCTGCGCGTCTGCAGCCCAGGGTGGAGGCTGAGTCTGATCGAAGGCATCGACCACCCGCACGTCTGCGGCTTCGATCCAAGACCCGCTGCCTGCCTTTAGGGTCTGCCCTACAGCGGGCTCCCCAGGGACCGCCAGCCCCGGAACACCAGCGCGCCACCGCCTCGCCTGCGGCGCGGGGGCAAGGGCAAGGCCGCTCCAACTTGGGGCATCGACCACCTGCGCGTCTGCAGCCCAAGGTGGAGGCTGGATCCGATCGAATGCATCGACCACCCGCACGTCTGCGGCATCGATCCAGGACCCGCTGCCTGCCTTTAGGGTCTGCCCTTCCACGGGCTCCCCAGGGACCGCCAGCCCCACAAAATCTGCGCGCCGCCTGTCTGGCAGCTGATCCCTGAACAAAATCCAGCAGGGTGCCAGGCGGTGGCCTGCCCATCAGCTGGCGGCCGTCGCACTGAACCCTAAAGGCCCGACCCACCGCCTTCGGCCAGCTTGGCTCTGGCCGCGTCGACAGCAGCTTGCAGCTCCTGGGTGCTGGGAGTGTCGGCTCCCCCTGTGGGTGTCGTGGCCGACCCAGGCACTGCAGGCTCAGCGCCAGAAGCGGCAGCACCAGCCGCAGGAGGAGCCCCAGGTGCCGCTGGGGGTGGCGTTCCAGGCTGGACGTCTGCGGCGGCGCTGGTGCCATCGCCACTGTCGGACTGGCGGGCACGCTTGGCCGACAGGCGCTTCCGCATGTCTCTGGCTTCCGCCCTGAGCCGCTGAATGTTGTCGGCGCTGGGCCCGATGGCCGCCACAATTGCCTTCTGGATCTCAGCCGCCATGTTGCTCTTGAGGGCAAGCCACCGCGGCTTGTCCCCGTCTTCGATTTCGAGCTCGCTGAGGTCGAGAGCATCGCCGTCCACGATCTCCACGCCTTCGAAGCCACTCTCCTCCCCCAGCAGCTGCGACAGGTTGATTTGGGAACCCGTCGGCACATGCGCCGCCTCAGGCGGAGGCCCCGCACCAGGCGTCGAGCCGCGGGCCTTCTGCAGCTCGGCCTTGAGCTCATCTTGCCAGGCAGTCTTGGCCTGCACCGCCCAGACTGCCGCCTCCTGGGTCCGCTGGCTGCACTCCGCCAGCCAGCGCCGCGCCTCGTCCTCCTGGTGGACCGCGTGCTCCAAGGCCTTCTCCGCCCTCCTGCACGCCACGCCTTTCGCACTGATGGTCTCCTCCAACAGCGGCTGGCGGGCTGGCTGCGCAGGCGCGGGCGGAGCCACCACTTGGACCAGGGCCTGCAGCTCCTGCGTCCGCCTTGACATGCTGCTGGAGCTGCGCGAGGAGCTCAGCCACTGTCGGCTGCTGGCCCGCCCCTCGCTGTGGTGGCGTCGAGACCCGCGGTGCCTCCAGGCGGCTGGGTGCCCAGGTCCCTGGCGGGTGCGCGGGCCCTTGCTGGCCACCACCCTCACCACCTGGCGACCAAACTCCTTTGACCTGGCGCCACGGCGGCGGCGGCGAGGGGACCAGCGCATTGCCACAGGAGAAGCAGTGCTCGCGCGACTTCCAGTTCCAGCGGTAGCGGCAGCTTGAGCAAGAAAGGTAGCCTTTGGCGGCATCCTTGCCCATGGGTTCCTCCAGGAGCTCACCGAGAAAGGAAGGATGTTGTGCCAGTCAGGCACAGGGTACAATCGCGGAGTGGCCGTGAAGCCGCGTGTGAAAACATCCTGGACGCTGGCCCAAGGATCGCAGGTGGGGGCGCACCTCCCGCTTGCCAACCTCAAGTCGCTGAGCCTCCCGATACGGACTTGAGCCAAAATGGTTACGGAAGAAGAGGAGGAGGAGGAGGAGGAGGAGGAGGAGGAGTTGGAACAAAAGGAGGGCCCCTGCCGGAAAAAGAAGCGCACACGTCCGAGCGATGCCAGGACCAGAGGTGCAGCCGAGACGTGGTCGCGAGAGCGTGGGCCACGAACGTAAGCCCCTCCGCCGAGGGACCGGGGTCCTATGGAGATTCCCATGACGAACAACGATCCTCCTCCTCCTCCTCGCTCCTCCTCCTCCTCCTCCTCTTCCTCTTCTCCGCTCCGCCTCCTCCTCCCCTCCTCCGCGTCGCCTCCGCCTCCTCCTCCTCCGCCCCCTCCTCCTCTTCCTTCCTCCTCCTGCTCCTTCTCCTCCTCGTCACTCGTCCTCGTCCTCAGTCTTCCTCCCTCCGCCTCCTCCTCCTCCTCCTCCTCCTCCTCCTCCTCCTCCTCCTCCTCCTCCTCCTCCTCCTCCTCCTCCTCCCCTTCGCCGAAGGGCCAGGGCCCCGTGGAGATTCCCATGACAGGGCTGGACCTAAACTTAGGTCCGGCATGTCCCCTTGCAGGCGGATTCGGGACGAAATCTTAGAACTTTATCAAACACTACCCCAAAATAGTCAAAGTGGCCAAACGCCGTCCCCATACGATGTTTCAATTATTGTTGCATTCTTTTCCTGTGGAGGGACAGGCCCGACATAAAGCTAAACGTTGTTTTTCGTTGTGCCTTTCGTTTTGCTCTGCGTGTTTTCCTGTACGGCGCGGCCTTGGGCGGTCGCCGCCACTCCCCTCTCCCTCTGCCAGCCTGGCTGCGTTGCCACCGCCCTGGCTGCCCTGCGCTTCCTCCTCCCTGTGTTGCTGTACCGCCCCGCCGAATGCGGGCGCCTGGGACGCTTCGCCCGCCACCTCCCGCCCCACCTCTCCCTGTCCCCTGGCCTTGGGCGGCAACGCCGCAATATTGCCTCTGTCACTGCCAGCCATCTGGCCGCTGCTCCTGCCTCCGCACGGCTCAGTGCTGTGCCTACTCCTCGGTGCGCCGCGTTACGCCGTTCGTGGTGTCCCGCTGCGCCCGCCCGCCAGCTCCAGCCGCTGGCTGCCGCCCTCCCGCCACCCTTGCCACCGTGGTTCGCCACGGCCGCCCACCGCGCTCTGGCACTGCGCGCCTGGCTGCTGCTGCCCCCCCAGCTGCTCATCGTCGAACTCTTCGACGTCTGAACGTCCCTCCCTTCTTCCTCTCGGCCGTCCCCCCCCCCCTCTGTGCTCGCTGGCCAATTCGCTACTTAGTGCCCTCATCTAGCTTTTCGCTGGAGCGGAATTCGCCGCCTCGCCGCCGACGAAAAAAAATTGTTCTGTACGGCAACTTCGTGTCTTGTCGACCCCGGCGCTGGTTCCTGACACCGCGGGAATCGTTCAATCTTGAACAATCGGCCATTTCCGAAACGCCAGATCGTTCAACGTCCCGATTCTGGGTCGCTGGAGGTATTCAACGTTGAACGCCAGCTGCGGGGTCGCCGCCAGTCAACTCGACGCGAACCTACCAGACCTCACCGCCAAAACGAAAAACAAAACAGAGCCGAAGTCCAGCAAAACAGCTTTTAGGTCCGGCCCTGTCCCATGACGAAAAACGCTCCCAGGCGGAAAAAAACCCAACCGTGAAGAACCTGAGGATGCCCCTCCAGAGTCAAGGATGTTCCCCTGAGACTTGGCGCTGCAATTTTTTCCGCTCGGGGGCGTCCAAGAGGGGGGCGTCGAAGAGAGGGGCGCGAATCATGGCCAACGGCATGTGCGCGGCCCAGGGGGGGGGGCCGGGAACGTATTGAAATAAGAAGAGGCGCCATGGCGTGCTAAGATCTCCGGTAACTACTTAACAATATCTCTAATTCGCGCACGCGGGGCGGCCCCTGGGGGGCCCCGGACGAAAAGTACCCCAGCCGATCCCCGGCTGACCTCCGGGAGACCCCCAGGGGGGAGGCTATTTTTCGCCACCCCTCACGAGGATCGTGGCCTCCGAGGGGGGGGGCTGCCAACGACTACCCCCCCCTCCCGCCCCAAGGGGTCCCCAAGAGGCCCCAGGGGAGCCCAATACGCCGCCAAGGAGCCCCAAGACGCTCACAAGAAGCCCCCAAGACGGCCCCAAGAGGCCCCAAATAGCGCTCCAGGGCCGGCGGAATGAGCGAAGCGATTAATAAGAAGAGGCGCCATGAAATCTGGGAAGAGATCATGGCCCCCGCCATGACATCCACACCCCCTAGTCATCACCCCCCTCTTGGCCGCCCCGGATCCACACTGGGCGTCTTCGTTCAGCTTCGGGCCCGGGGACCCTCACAGATCGATCTGGCTCGAAAAAGGACGCAGAAGGACCCTCACAGATCGATCTGGCCCTGGGCTCCAGGCGTGATTTTTCGCGATGTTGCACTTTTTTTGCAATATCGGATCGCAGGGTTCCTAACCCTGGTGTCAGCTGTCAGGATTCATGAGGACCAGGTCACACGTCTCCGCGCTTCGCGCAGCGCGATGCGCGGAGATCTTCCCGTCTTCGCGCCGCTCACTGGCGAGGAACGATTCGCTGGCCCAGGTTGCGAGGCGCGAAGCGTGGCCATCTTCGCGCCCTGCCGGTGAACAGGGGTTTAGGATGCAATGTGCGGATGCAAGACCCTCCTCAGGTGTCCACGTGTCCACGTTGGCCAGGGATGGGCCGAAGAGGCAAGGATACATGGGCACCCTGGTAAGAGTGACCTATGACAAGACTTAGGTCGGGCATGAACTCCTACAGGCGAATCTTGAAAGAAAAATAGAAACCAGCCAACAAAAAAGTCAAGTATAGTCAAAACAAGTCGGCAAATCGTCCGCAGACCATGTTTTTCAATACTATGTTTGAATGTTCTTCCTGTAGAGGGATATGCCCGACTTAAGGAAAGATCCTCCAGGGGCCCCTCGTACTGCCGAGGGCCACGCCCGCAGCATCCCGCGCTGGCCGCGAGCCACGCGCTGCCGAAGGCCAGAAGGGACACAGCGACCCCAGCCCTTGGGGATCCGCGCCTCCAAACCAGTCTCGGCGGCGAGCGAGGGGGGGAAGCGAGAGGGGGCGGACCTTCTCAGCAGGCGCGGAAGTACCCCTGGCCTTCGGAGAAGTTTTCTGAGCCTTCCCCGAAGACGCAACAAAACCCCCTCAGGGGGCGCGAGGGCTTCTGAGAAGCCCCGCCGCCCTCTGAGAGGGCCTGTTCCTTCTCACTTCCCCCCCCGCTCGCCGCCGACAGTCGGTACCAAACTGACCGCCAGATAGAATTGAACTGCTGCGCTGAAGGCGGCCGAGATGGGACCAGAGCAGATGGGACCAGAGGGCCAAAACGCATCGCCCATGCATCGGCGATGCACTGGCGACGTCGGGATGAACCAAATCATGCACCAGATCGCGCCGCACCGCTGATGCATCGGCGATGCGGCGTGATCCTCTAATCCCATCTACTCCAGCCTCGTTTGGACGGCCTCAATGTACGTGGCAGACAGGCCGCCTGACGGAGAGAGCCAAGGAAAGCGGGCGCTTGGTGCGGTTCGTTCTGGCTTCGTGGCGAGGGCGAGGGTCAGGAGTTTCCCCTCTGAGGAGTTGCCCCCCTGGTCGACAGGCCGAAGCTTCGAGTCCTCCATCCCTTGATGCCCACTGCAGACCAGACCGCCCGAGGAACAACCAATCTTCGGGTTCTCCGCTGCGGCCCTGGCCGACTGGGGAATTGCCAATCTTCGGGGTCCTCGGGTTGCCTCCTCCTCCTCCTCCTCCTCCTCCTCCTCCTCCGTGTCATGTTCCTCCCCTTAGCCGAATGAATTATGCTACATTTTCCAGTGAGCTTTGGCGTTCGAGGACATAATTAAGATGGGCCGCATGAGCTGGTGTAGGGTGGCTGAAGAACGAAGATTGCGCATGTGGAACTTGTGACAAAGTCAATGACAATCAGAAGGAGGAGGTGGAGGAGGAGGAGGAGGAGGAGGAGAAGGAGGAGGAGGAGGAGGGGAACGAGGATGAATGCAATGCTTGCGCTTAAGTCGTAAATCGTCCCCCTGAGTGTACCAGGCATGCTGTACCCGAAGCTTCGGCCCCTCACCCTGAGCGGCACAACTGTACGTAGCGTATCGATATAGCTGACAGGGTATGGACTTGCGGAGCCGAAATGACCAGGGAAATGATGAGAGAGAGCAGCGAGGCGCCCCGCGAAGCAGACAAGCGCAAGGGCTTGAGCTGGGGCGGACAGCGTAAGACGAGGCCAAGACGAAGATACATTCGGTTGAGGACACATCAAACGACCCTGCCGGCGTGTTTGAGGGGCTTATCCGTTCGAGTCGCCCTCTTCGTCGTTCGTTAGTCGTTGTCTCTGCTGACTCCTTTCCCTGCGACCCCCATTTCCCTGGGCCCGTCGCCGCTCCCCCCCTCTTCCTGGGCCCTCTTCCCCAAACGCGCCAGCAAAAGCGAAATTGAGTAACGTCGTAATTCAATCGAAGGGAAGCCCCCTCCCTTTGATCCCTCCCCCGTCGTGGGGGCGGGGGTCTCGGGGGAGATACGACTCCCCCGTGGGGGTGTCCCAGCGAGGGTCGCCACCCAGATACGCCTCCCTCCCAGGGGGTCCCGAGTATCCCAAAACGCTCCAGGACGGGCCAAGAGTGCTCGAAAAGGCCCCCAAGACGGTCCGAGAAGGCCCCGCATCGCCGAACGATCTGTCCAAGACGCCTTCACGGCCTCCTGAAGGCCCGTGAGGCCTGCAAACGTCCCAAGAGGTCTCCAGGAGCATCCCCAAGAAGGCCCTCAGAGGCAAAACTCATGGTTTCCCCGTAAAGTTTTGCAAGATGTTGGCGTTCTAACTTCTTCCGCTTCCCGACGCTCCAAGACGGCCCAGGAGACCCCCAAGATCGCCACATGACGGCCAAACGTCCTCCAATACGTTCCCAAGATGGCCCAAGACGGCCCGAAACGCCTTCAAGACAGGCCAAGAGGCACTCCACGAGGATGCCAAGACGGGGGACCCGAACGGACATCTCCAGCCCTCGCCCCCGAGAAGCTCTCATGAGGCCCCATAAGGCCTCGAAGACGCCCCCAAGAAGCCCCCAGGAAGCCACTGGAGCCCCCCAAGCGGCTCCCAAGAGGCCCCCCGAGAGTCTCCTGCAACGCCCTCAGACTGCCCGCCAGAAGCCTCCGAAAGCGCTCCGAAGACACCCCGACAAGCATCCCCTCCTCCCCCTGCTTCTCACCCTCCTCCTCCTGTTCCTCCGCCTCGTCGTCATCGTCCTCCACCTGCTCATCGCCCTTCTCGCCCTGGTTCTGCCCCAACTCCCCCTCCTCATCCTCCTCCGCATGCTCTTCCTCATCCTCCCCCTCCTGCTCCACAGCGTCCTCTTCCTCCTGCTTCCCCCTGCTCTTCCTCCTCCTCCTCCTGCTCCTCCTCCTCCTCCACTTCCTCCTCGTCCTCCT